GTTTCCCGAGGGGGAAGAGGGTGGCGGAGGAGGCCCAGCTCCTGAGCATCCTGCCTCTACATCCTTCAGACTCCTGGATACGGTGGTCCTCCCCCTCCACACATGCAGATGCAAATGAATGCCCTGCCGGTGAGCTGCCCGCGGGGTGCTGAGGGCAGGGGTGGGGCAGGTCTTTACTCACTGAGCTCTGAAGAAACCTGTGTGCAGAGCTCAATGGGACAGAACCCGATAATATCGCTTCCTCCTTGCTTCACAGATTATGTCAGGACCCCCAGTCTTCAACCCGGTATGCGGCCTGTGGGGTTGGGGCTCAGTGAATTGGTTCAGTGAAGGGGAAGAAGGCCCTGGGGCTGGGGAGAAGTCAGAGAAGGGTGGTGGGGTGTCAGGATGGTGGGATGAGGGCGTTTGGGATGGGAGGTGAGGAGAGGGTAACGTTGGTGACTAGGGTTGGGGAGGGCACTTGGCCGGGACATTTCCAGGAAGAAAGGAACCTTTTTCTGGAAAAAATGTTCCTGAACCTGGACTTCCGAGACCCAACAGTTGATGGACCACATGTTCTCCACAGCCTGTGCCATACACGGGGGTCCTGCACGGGGGCCTCAGCCCTCGCAGGACCATCATAATCAAGGGCTTCGTGCCCCTCACAGCCAAAAGGTAAAGCACCCCGACTGAGGTAGAAATGGCCAGGCCTCATCCCTCAGACCCGGGGGACCCAGACCCTAGCTGTTTCTTTCCTGAGGACTCCGGTGCTAACCTCCCTCCCACTTCCCCTCTTTGCTCCCAGCTTTGCCATCAACTTCAAGGTGGGCTTCTCAGGGGACCGGGCACTGCACATTAATCCCCGCCTGTCTGAGGGCGTCGTGGTCCGGAACAGCCACCTGAACGGCTCCTGGGGCTCCGAGGAGAGGAAGCTCCCCCACAACCCATTTAGGCCGGGCCAGTTCTTTGACGTGAGTCGGGGTCCCCTCACCCACTGCCCTGCGCTTCCCTTTGGCAGCCCCACACCCACCTCGTGGTACCCTCCCTCCTGCAGCTCTCCATCCGCTGCGGCATGGATCGCTTCAAAGTTTACGCCAATGGCCAGCACCTCTTCGACTACTCCCATCGCCTTCCAGCCTTCCAGAGCGTGGACACGCTGGAAATCCTTGGCGATGTCACTTTGTCCTATGTCCAGATCTGATCCATTCCTGGGCACAGTTCGAGGAAAACAGAAAGATCCTCTGGGATCCCCACCTAAGCCCCCAATAAAATGTGTGAGAGTGTCTCATGTGTCGGTGACTCCCTTCACTCCCCTCATTACTCCTTTCTCCCTTGGGCCAGTCATGTGCTGTCCACTCATCTTATTTTGTTTTGTCTTTGTCTTTTTTGAGACAGGGTCTTGCTATGCAGTTCAGGCTGGCCTTGAGCTCACTTTGTAGCTCCTTTGACTATTCT